CATATGTACTCTTGTTGTGCTGGTATTCGGTTGTATACATGTATTTTTTATCGGTAATTTTTTCTTTCTTGCAGAGTGCCAGAGTAAATAAGAAAATGAATTTGAATGGTTTCCACAACTTACAACAATTTTCAATTGAAGGCATGGTTCTCCGCGTTTTTGTTTTGGTCGCAGTGAAGGTTTTCCTGGTCGAACATGCATATGTAAAGATACTTTTATATCTTGTAATTTGAGCGTTATAGTTGATATTTTTTGTCTAACATTTTAATTGTACATAGGTCTCTTTGTGCATGTTTTTACTTTTCTTTTTCTTTTTTTATTTTTTTAAGTATATGTAAATTACTGCATGTGTGCATATTCATTTAAATGTTCATGTTGCGTTTTTGTAATTCGTGGAGGGGGTTCTTTTCATGTTTTTGTTTTGTTTTTTTCTATTTGTTTAGTTTCAGCATTTTGGAGAGCCACTTGAGTGATTTAGTTCGCTTTTTGGCAATCCCTTAAGGGTGGTGCTGTAACCATGTCCATGTCTTAATTACTGTTTCTTGATTGTATATGTGTTTGTATTTTGTTTTGTCTTACCTGAAAAAGAATAAATTAAAAAATGAGAAAAATGAAATGAGAGTTTCGCATCACAAGTAAAATAAACCAAACCATTGTCATAACCTAAGCTGGACATAACAAGTATAAACGATCTCCATTCTCCAGGAGATTCCATGAAGAAAATTCTTTTGTCATTCACAACTCTGAACAGGAATTGAGTACATGTGGGTCTAGTTATAGGTCCACAAAGAGAAAGGGTAGTTTTGTTTCGCAAATATTGAGTTGGAAACTGGGCCCAATTTCACGGAGCTGCTTAACACTTGGCTGAAAATTTGCCAATCTTTAAGACTGATTAATAATCACTATTTTATGGCGGTGCTTGGCCTGGTTGTACTTTACTGTTGCACACATAAAGATTTATATTGTTTTTCTACAAAAAGCTTCGGATTTTTCTTCAAAGCTAAGCGTGCCTTCTGCCGTGCCTACTGCTTACGTACGGTTTCCATGTTATATACGAAACTGTAAACGTAAAATCGTGTGCTTAGCAGCGCCGTGAAATTGGGCCATGATCTCTCTCGGCTGCCGCATATTGTACAGATGTCGCTAGTTCTCCACCATACAGCAAGACTCAAATCATACGGGTAGCCTCTTCTGACCTCCCGCCCATGGCCACCCTTTGATTCATCCTTTAAGAGGAAAAAAATGGTGGGATGTCCGTACCCAACATTTATATGAATCACTGCTTTGATTAACCAGTCAATACATTCAGTACAGTGGAATGTTCCATCTCTCATGTTTCTGTCTTCACAACCTATTGATACACAATGGAGAATTCTAGAACAAATTTACATTTATCGAAACACGAATCACATACATTACTGAACATCATTTTAAAATACAGTCGTAAGCTGATAGTGGCCTGTTATTGAAGCTAATTTCAAATTAGCATTTAAAAAACATTTCAAGAAAACATCATAATGCAGCTAACAAAAGTAATACTGAAGGAAAAAAAATTGTCAATTGGATAGAATTTCATCTCAAACCAAGAGGAATAAAGCCTTCTGTATGTCCATGACTGCATTGAAAATCCACTACCTTTTTCATTTCTGTGCCTTACCTTGGAGGGATTACAACTCCTATTTAAAAGGGTTTATAAAACTGAATTAATTTGTTTGAAGTTGCAGCCGAATGTTAATGAGAAACTTTCAGGGCAGAAGTGAGGTGTTTCTAGCATTTGAAAGTCATTGCATGCTCATTCCAGATTGTGATCACACCAACTAACATTTACCGGTTATTGCCATTTTGGAGGAAAGTGGTCCCATAAGCAAGTTGGAGCTTGTGACTATGAAGGGTCACATCTTTCCTTTGCAATGTTTTAGAATGCAGTACAAAGCATTTTCTTCTCAAACTGGTCTTTTTCTTCTATGATCTATTATGGAGACTATGAAATGCCCAAACTCTCAGTCTCAAGCACATTCAGACATTAAGGCTTTTTGAAAACTTAGGTTTGGCACTGAGCCTTCACTCCCTGTAATGAAATGTGCCCTGCTTTTTGACTTTGTCTCCAAATCTTAATAAACCAGATATTTAATCTGGAAATTTCTCATCCCCTGAGCTGTACCTGTACCTGAGTTTGTAAGTTGTCTTTGTATTGACTTAGTTTGACCTTACACATCAATGTGATGTCAATGTGATGTCAATTTTATATTGATTTGCTCATCAGTATCCCTCTCATAGTTATTTTTGAGTTACTACAATCAGCATGCATTGGTTGGCACAAGCTGTAAATTTGGTTCTTCTTATTCCAAACACAAAACAAAGTCAAACGTCTGTTTTTATTTAAGCTACAAAGCTCTGACAGAAATTGCTTCTTGGTACATGTACCTCACAGACAACTATGGGAACTTGCATTTTCCAAATCGTTGTCAAATCCAACATTAAGATCAGCAAGAGAAACTAGTTTAAAACCTACACACGTCTAACGTGTGTCTCACATGATCAAAATATACCAGACTCTACATCAATCACATGAATCACCACCAAATTAGGTCTCTGGGATATACACCCCCACCCCAACTAAGACCATCAAGACCTCCATCTAATCAACTAAACTCTTTGCCCGAACTCAAATCCCTAACTATTAAATTCTTTCACTTGGTAAGAACATCAAGTCCAATCCCCAAAGATGCGCATACAAGTGTGATGTCATGATGATGTCATCAGGTATCAATACAAGCAATTCAATTTAAACGTAACCAACTTCTATCAGGTGTATCTCCTGAACTACTACAAATGTAACGGTACTGTGTTCAGTTCACCCTTGACGAGCCTCAGAGGCTGAAAATGATATATGTACCATTGCTCCAGCAGCTTTCAGGTATGGGGAGAGTTAAGAAAGGCCGCTGTTTCTCTAAAAACTAACGCATGTAGTCATTAAGCTTAAGAAAGGCCAGCTGTTTCTCTAAAAAAACTAACACCTGTAGTCATTTGGTCCAGTCATTGGAAAGCTGATTTTCTCCACGCTCTAGTACTATTACACAAATGCTCTGGTGAATTCTGAGACTATACAAATAACTGCAATCTGGACGAATTTACAATACACAACCAACAAATGATTGAAACTTGCCAAAAACTAAAGTCCTAAAAGATTTGGTTCTGATCTTTTAATATTTAGTTAAAGTTGAAAAAACTTGTTTTTTATTTTTATTTTTACATCCAAGACCATCAGATGATTTTGGTACTGATATGCACCAGTGGAGTGACCATTTTGGCAGGTTGTTTTTTTTTTTCGATATGCACCAGTGGAGTGAACATTTTGGCAGGTTGTTTTTTCGATATGCACTAGCGGAGTGACCATTTTGGCAGGCTGTTTTTTTTTATATGCACCAGCGGAGTGACAATTTTGGCAGGTTTTTNNTTTTTTTTTTTATATGCACCAGTGGAGTGACCATTTTGGCAGGTTTTTTTTTTTTATATGCACCAGTGGAGTGACAATTTTTGAAGTTTTTTTTTTCGATATGCTTCAGTGGAGTGACCATTCTGGCAGGTTGTTTATTCAGTAACAGTTCATATTCATTTGCATTGCTAGATTGCTATTTAGAAAACATGCACACCCTAGTTTTGAGGTAACAACGGTTTGTGCATGTGTACACTACAAATATAACTATATGTACGAATATGGAATGTAACAGATTCGATCCAATTTATATAACAGGTTTTGCCCTTACCCCCCAAAAAAGTCACAAGCTTACTCGGTAAGCTTGTGACCTTTTGACCTGGTAAGGGCAAAACCTGTTATATAAATTAACATCTCCCAAACGCAAAAATACATCTTGAAAAAGATTTGATCCAGCTTGAAAGAAGCTACATCCAAGAAACAGCATCCGCCATTCATTCCCTTTCAAATTAGAGTCTTTCATGGCCTTAATTGATGGCATGGTTCTTTGATTTTATTGTCCAGGATTCAGCCAATTAGATGGGTAGATTGGGGCTTTTTAGCCTCAGATTTCTTTCCAGTGGTGCAGACGAGGGTTTTTACCTCATCCATGACATTAGTCATGTCCAACAGAGACACTGCAAAAAGCCCATTTGTTTGCACTATTGCTGGCATATGAAATTGTATCTTCTATTTTGCAATCTTAGAATCAGCTCCATATGTTCTCTTGGCACGTACAGAAATGCCCCTGGACACTTGAGGTAAATATTGCGCGTCATATATTGGACATAACAAAAGCAATTCACAATACTACATGCTGTCAAGCAATTGGCTCAAGGAGGCCACTTTTCAACAACATTCATCTTTATCTTGCATAGATTAGCTTGTAGCGGTGTGCGTTTATGGGTATTTTTGGAACCGGGTACCCATTTCATTCAATGCTGGGTACCCAGGTACCCTTAAAATATACAGAACCCTTAACAAATGGCATTGCATGCAATCCCAGCAGACCATGGGCCTGAAACAGGGCTCCTGTTTGGTTCCTAGGAAACAGCACATTGGTCTAAACTTTTGAGGATCAAATCAGCCCCATCTTTTTATAAAACAAAGTGTTACATTTGATTTGTTATAAAGGTTGCTCTGTCAATATCTGAACAGGAGTTATGACCGTGGGCCCGGGTTTTTCAGCTGATTTTTCAGCAATTCTGCCCTTCACTGTTCAAGTTCTAATACATTTTATACAAAGAATTTTTCACGGGTACCCGGCCTGGAAAAATGGAACTGGGTTTTGATATTGACGGGCCGCTACCCGGGTACCCAGCACTGGCCTATTAGCTTGCACTTCATCATTGGTTCTGCATTATTTTTTTCTCATAGCAGGACACAAACACATGTACAAACACCTTCAATCATGAAATTCCCATCATCTTCCTTTTTGTCAATACTTGAAACATTTTGCAAAGCGTTTCCATAGGATTTGTACACGGTTTTCCAATCATGGATCGTCACCGATCGTGGACCAGGCTTGTCCAGGCTGTAACAATGTTCACAGGGCAATTACTTATTGTTAGGAATATTGAGACTGATTTACAGAATGAAAAAGTTGTCGCCATGGTGTTTTCATTCCCCAAACTGTCTGTATTTCAACATGTGCAGCTCCCACAACTACAGAGAATAGGACTCTGTGGACACACAAATTCAAGTACTCATTGTTATGTTCGCAAGAATTCCAACATTATTTCGAGCAAGAAGGGAAGAACGTACACGTTAAGAGAAGAGAGACACTGGTACCATCTTGTTATGGATATTATACCAGCATACGAGCCGAACACCAAGCCCCTGACCCTGTTGACCATTTTCCCACAATGCACTGCAAACTTGGCCTCTTTACAGTGGCTGGTAAGTGACAACTTGTATTTTGAGTTGCTCCAATTATGGCCATATAGTTGGCAAGCACCCTGTCCAGGGATCAGATAGCACACTGTGGCCTTCCCACGAGACAACAAAGTAGACAGCATGAGACTACATTGATTTGCAGGTATGTAGATGTACGGCGTGGGTCACCTATGGTACCTGCACACCAGACAAATACACCTAAGTGTGGGCATGTGGTGGCAATATGCGGTGTTTTGGTGTCCCTTACTGTTGGTGCTTGTTTTGTCAAAGTTTCTGCTTCGCCAGGGTACTCGTGCGCCCAAGTCTAGGGTCAGCACACTTCATGAGGTTCAAATCCTCTAAGGCTGCTATGACCATTGATACATCTCATTTGCATACCGTTCCGGACTGGTCAGCGGTAGGAGTAGGTAGAGGAAGAGCAACAGTCCAACGACGAACGTCGCACAAATGACGGCTCGCTGCAATGGTGTGTGGTTGGGGATCTCGTCAAAGGCCGGAAAACCCATGAAATTGCAGAAAATGTGCACTATGATGCAGGCAATCACATGACCTAGGAGGATGGAACATAAGCGTGGGGTTCAGATCATGTGACAAGTCACGTGGCAGGCCATGTTTACCAGTCTTTCCGTCTGACCCATTATTACAACAACCAAGGGGAAAAACCACACCCTTTTTCTTCTCAGTAGTCGTCAAGAAACAAAACACTCATCAGCATGAAATATACCAATCATTAAAGAAGGAAGGGGTCAATTCCGAGGTATTCTTCAGCAAATTTAATCCCCATTTTGATGTTTCCACTCATCAGCCGTGCCTGTGTACACAAATAGCCAATTTACACCCCCTTGAAGTTGTTTAAAAAAAACCCATAAATCAGGGGTACAATTAATATTAAAGTAATATTGTAAATCATGGGGGGGGGCATTCCTGAATTATCAAAACCACAAATAAAAACAATACTGTTTGTCTCTAGGCAACTGATTTCTATACAGGTCACATAACTGCAGTCATTTCTGAAAGAGAAAATGGCACAGTTGTACCTTCTGGTACCTTACTGATGCACACAAAGAAAGTAAATAATCTCACCTGTCCGAAGAAATAGAAAGGCTGACAAGGCACCAAAGACGGTCGTGTAGAAAAACTGGAAAACTGTACGAAAATAAAAATGGTCAATGTAAGATGAGCAAGATGTCTGAGTGGCACACATTAACCCTAACCCTCCTCAATCCTTCACCTGTTGGAGGACTGAGGAGTGTTAGGGTTAAGAGAGGTTATGCCTTGGTAGTGTCTCAGAGGTTGGCCTTTGTTATTTATTATTAATATTGTTACAATGAATGCACAAAAAGTTTACCCTAGTGTATCCCAGAGGAAGAAAGACATAACCTCTTGAGTCACATGCATAAGGTCCAAAGTGGTTGATTTTGGTTTGACAGTAGTTTCGAAATTTGACTTTTTGCTTTTTTTACCACACATAATGAGGGCGATGGATAGATAATTTAAAACTAAAACCTCATTTAATTGCAAAAGGCTCCAGATCGACATTATGTTTTCATGGAGTCAATCAAGCCCTTCATGTGCCGGGAGAAAGCAATGTAAGGTGTGCCTTCTTAACATCCTCCAGCGATTTTCGGTGCAAACCAATTTATTATGGTTGATGAGTCTGGTGCCCATGGGCCTTCCCTGCACACACTGCATGTATTGAGCTGGGAGTTCTGCCCTGATTATGTAAAAACATCGTCTGCTAGTGCTAACAGAAGAGTGTGTCACAGAAATCCCTGATGACCGTGACTCAACAAAGTCAAGCTGCATTGCATTGGCTGCATTTCACTACAATTAACCCTAAAAACCTTGCCCTAACCACACAGAATTAAACAGTAGTAAAGTGTTTAATTCTGAGGGGATAGGTCCGGTAGGCCCAATCATCAGAAAATGTTTGAAAAGGCTTATTACTGGCTGACATGACAAGTACTTTTCACTCATTGTATTCACAGTGATACACAGACAAGAGAAATCTCAAATTCTAATAAATTTGAATTATATTCTAACTTCATGTGGACAAGAACAAGAATAAATTTGTCTGTGCGTTCGTTTCCTTCTTTGTCTTCCTCTTTTTAATGAGAATTCCCTCTGAATTCTTTTTTGAGAACAAGTAAATCACTTGTTTGAAAGTTCCCAGGGCTAAACATCAAGACTTACTTGCACCAACCCATATTACAAAAGGCCTTCTAGCTCCTTGCCGTAAACCTTCTATCACATGATGCACGTGTGCTGCAAACAATAAGAAAACCATGCAATAAAGAAAATCAAAATGGCCGAAATGGGGCAATGCGACAATTTATGACAATAAATTTGTTGTAATACCAGAGTTTGTTTTTCAAGGCTAGAATCTGGTCAGTTGATGGGGGTAAGGAAGGATTTTTGAAGTGACTGCATCTGGTCAGTTGATGGGGGTAAGGAAGGATTTTTGAAG